ATTCAACTCGCCTCCCCAAACGAAACGAAAGTTATTCCAACATGAATATATTGAGGGATTCTTCAACAATCAGTTTTTCTACAACTCGAAAGGTTTTCTGGCATCATAATATTGGGGGATTCTTTGAAATCCAGATTCTCATAATACATATTGATCAAGCCAAGGGATCCGATACGGAGTCTCATCTGTGTTGGATGCCAGATCTCCTTGAGGAACCAGTAACGAATAAGTAAAATGGTGTTACTCAGTTTTCCTTCACGTATACATTGTTTCTGTAGTTGGTAAAGTATATTTGGAAATGGAAAAATCTATCCTCAAATTGTTCAAGTGCCCTATTACTTTAATTATTTCCTTGGATTAAAATTAAAACCAACTAAGTCAAAGTAAGTTTGTTAACATTATAACTAAAATAATACTAGTAGTATCAATATTAATTTTATTCTTATGTATCAAATAATATTTCAATTAATATTCACTTATTTAGGGTTCAGGATATGCCATGGCTCTACTACAGCCCAGAAAAAGCATCTACTACCCTGACGGCAACCGATTTGACATCCGAATTTAATAGTAACAGTCTGATTCCGATCAAGTTGGCTGCATTCATGCTGAATGGCTCTTTTATTGGCTACAAAGACGCTGTTGGAGAGGGTCTGCTTCAGCTGTGCAAAGATTCTTTTCAGCGAATGATAGCAGCCTTTAAATTTGGCACCGTATATTATAAACAGGTAGTTTGGATAAGTGAAATAGATTTCTTTGGATACAGGCTTTAAATTAACCATTTTTTTCTCTTTATGGCAATAAATGACCGGACAGAGTAAAATAATAATGATTCCAGCTTAACCAGGCCAGTCTGTAGAACCTGTACTATAAAACAAATAAAATGTAAGTAGAAGTTGTTGGAGCTTGTTTTCACAACTTGGTCATATTGGTAGAGAGACCTAGAGGAACGCACCTAGTCCGGAGTCCATAGTGTGCATCGTAATTTACAGTCAGAACGTAAACGTGGTACATTCCCAGACGTTTAGCCGGCATCGTAGTCAGCAGCATCAGTGAACATTGTCATCATTAACACCACACTACAACTCGTCAAAGAGACAAGTGAAGCCGATCCTTTGACTAATTCTGTGCTAAACAATTGTGGTATCTCTCCTTCCGCCCTGGGCTAATCATTAATCCTATATCCTCGAATCATCCCTTCACTATCACAATATTTTACTTGCTTATTTAAATGTGGTATGGTATGCTCTTTTGAGCGGATTTCATGAAAAATCTCCACATCCCTCACCGGCTTTCTTATGCCCTTACCCCCTTCTGCTGGGAATTTTGATCAAAGTCTGCCATATTGTTACGCAATCCTCCTTCCCAAGGTCTTATCAGAGTCTCCGTAGGATCCGTCTGCCTTTGTTTTATGGACTACATCTATGATCAAGCACCTCTATAATTAGCCAACTAGCCGCCGCATCTATCGTGCTTCTATCCAGTGTGCCAAGTCTATGATTTTCCATGCCCTATTCTTTTGTGGGCCAACCCACAAATGTTTTTTGTTCTCCTTGTCTTGATTAGATTCAAGGTATAACGACAACATTTGTGGGCTGGCACACAAGAGACTAGGACATAGGAAGTCATAGACTTGTCACTATTGATAGAAGCATGATGGATGCGACGAAGACTAGAGCTAGTTGGCTAACTGTAGAGGTGTCTCATCATTGACGTGGTCCATGAAGCAAAGACTTGACGATGATAATTACTCGGGGTCTTTAGCCTCAATTTAGTGTCCCAGAAACAGAGTGTGGGAAATAACGCCTCGAGTGGCACAGAGTGGGTGACAGTGGTCGAGTGAAATACTTGAACCAGGGAGATAGCAGATCGATCCTACGAGGCAATATGGAGACTCTGATAAGACCTTTGGAAGGAAGACGGCGTAATAATATGGCAGACTCTTGTCGACATTCGCAGCACAAGAATGAAAGGGGGTGAACGGGGTGAGAAAGTCAGTGTAGGGTGTGGAGAGTTCTCATGAAATCCGCTCAAAAGGGTACATTTAAATAAGCAAGTAAAAATTGTGATAGTGTAGGGGTGATACGAGGATATAGGATTGGTAATCAGCCCAGGACAAGAGATACCACAATTGTTTAACCGACAATTAGTCAAAGGATCTGCTTCACTTGTGTCTTTGACTAGCTGTAGTGTGGTGTTAAGACTGTCAATGCTCACTGATGATGCCAGCGAAACGTCTGGGAATATACCACGTCCACGTTCCGACTGTAAATTATAATGTATAGTATGGAATCAGGACTAGGTTAGGTTAAATTCCATTACTGAATTAGGGGCTGCTTCTCCCTAAACCTTTTGATTTACATGTTAGTATTAAAGTTCGTCATTCCATAATGCTTTGCTTCTAATAGGCGATAAACCGACTACGCAGTTCAGATTAAATATTCTAAATTAAGCGTTGGTTCAACCTTATTTTCGCAACTTGGTTGGACCGTATCTAGTTCCGTGTCCTCTGTCAGTATTCATGATTTTCAGCATTGGACTATTGGCAAGGAACACTTCCAAACGTTTCTCCGGCATTGTCAGTTAGAGAACGCCATCGTAAACACAGAGTTACTACTTATCAAAGTGACAATTGAAGGCAACCACCTTGACCAATTTTCCGTTTAACCGTTTTGGCATCATTTCTCGTCCCACTTTTTTGTTCTACCCTTTAGTACCGATTCTCTTTCTCTTAACCCCATTTCATATGGCCTATCCACTTATTCACATAATTCTGTGCTCTCATTTCCTCCAATGTCGCCTAAGAGTGTGACGCTACAAGTCGGTTTAGGGAAGCATAACCATCTCCTCCACCGGTACCAGATGCCTTTTGCAGGACTCCTGACTTACATTCTGACTCGTTTTTTTCCTACCCGCTTGTTACTGTTTGACTGTCTGAAATCAGGTTACCTAAGAGCCTTCTACCCCCGTGCTAGATTACACCATATTCTAGGATTTGCAGCACAGAAGACCACTCCATGTTGGTCTTTATATCTATGATCTTTTTTAAGGTTATAATTACCTAATTAGTGGCAAAATAATCGTGGTTAGAGCTATAAGCTATGGTTTAATTCTAAATATTTTGGATAGTACGATAAGGCGATTGCGTATACAGGACATATATCTCTCAACAAGAGTTTAAGTAGTGGAGGTATTTTATCTGCGAGCAGTAGTCTAATGTTTATGACAAAGCTTCTAAAATAGAAAGAAATTGGTTTTACTACATAACATAGACATTTATTAGTGAGAAAAAATCGTTATGGAATTTTATACGTTTATATTTTGTGCATGACATTTAGAAAACAGGGAAATAACAAACTACATGTCTTAGTGCGTAATCGGAATGGCTGAAAGTATTTTATGGCGACAGAGAGACTCTGAGGAGAACTGACTACCTAGTTATGCATTAAGAGACTAAACAACTTAGCTTCTTCCAATGAGTGGTGTGTCATAGCAACTAGAAAGCGTAGTTTTTAAATAATTGTGTATCACAGTTGATTAACACAACTTTTAATACGTATTCGTCAGTAAGATTGATACTTTCACCGCAAAC